GTGCAGCAAAGGTTGAGCTGCTTGTTAAGAGTTGGTTTCTGGAAGTCACCAAAGTCACTACAAACTGGAGCCCTTGWCAAAAATTGGGCTCATTTTCATCACCTGACACATGGTTAATTTAAGAAAGCRTTGGCAGACTGACAGACTCTTTTAGCTTTCATCTATTGCCTAAACCAACATTGACCCATGTATTTTTGGTCAAAAGATCTGGTGGTCTCCTGAAGTGCAGGACTTGGAGCCAATGCACAGACGAATTTTCTTTTAGGTGCATGTCACTCCAAGGAAATAAAATTACTTCTGTTCTCTATACTTGATACAGAGTTTAAGATCCTCAAGAGAGATTAAAGGCAAGAAGAATTACTGTGTATTCCAGAGGAGCAAATTGCAGGAATGACACYAGAGAGAAGAGAGTCTCCAGATAAACTTCAGCTAATTGACCTCCAGAACTAGTAAATGAAAGAMAAGGAACAAAGAAAGAGACAGACAGGAAGGGAGAAAAAAATGTCAAAACTTAAAACTGTATCTGAAGCAATCAGCTAAGGGGAATTGAGATGGTAGACCATGCCTAGCAGTGAGAAACCAGGTAAGTACTTTTGCAGGTAAGTTCACAGGATGAATACAAATACAGAAAATTATTAGAAGGTAAAGACTTGCATATGCAAATAAGTGGAAACTCAAGACATGAAGATTCAGTTTGTAGACATGTCACAAACTGCGTAATCTGAGGTTCATTTCAGCTGCCTAAGCATCAGGGCTCTACAGCTGTCTGAGGAGCTCGTGATATCCCACTGAACTTGAGCTGCTAATCATGAGGGGTTGGCTGTCTCTGGTCCCCAGCAATACATGTCAGCCTTGTCTAGCTCTCGTGCATTCCCTGTGGTATTCCAACTGGTACTAGACACCTATATCAAGCAACCAACTTGACCTGTTAAGCACTATGTTAGTAGGTGTTTTCAGAATTAGTGCCTCTTATATTAAAAGCATAAGAGTTTTAAATCCCACCCTCCAGTCACTCTGTGCCTTAGTTTCTCAACAGTGAAAAAGAGACAATTTAAAGAAAAATCCCAAACCACTTAGGCAATACTTAGATCATTAGGCAACGCAAGAAGTACTTGGAGGAGTAGAGATGCATGCCTTTTAAAAGCACCAATGAAAGCCTAAGGTCTAAAGCAAATATTAACTGTTGATAGTGAACAACATTTTAGAATGCCAAACAGATAATGAAATGCTTTTTATTTTTCTGTTAACTCACTTTGAATGCTGGTCCCTTTTTCTGTTGTAGTGTGTTTTATAAATCTTTTTAAGAGACATTTTTTTTCATCAAACTGCAATTGCAAGCAATAAAACTTCAGAATATATTAAATTATTAGGACAACCTACAAATACATAGTCATATGCAGTCCTTAATCAGAACTAGTCCCCACCAGGCAATGATTTGATTGAACTGCTTTTATCTCTGTGAGTCCAGAATGGAGTCTTTGATGAAGTTTCAGCAGTAGAAAGCTGCATGAGAGCTTTTAGTGACCTCGCACATTCATATATTTACATCTGATTCTCTGCAAGTCAACTTTTTTTTTTCCTCAGCATACTAAGTGATGTAGGCCTGCAAGTCTGCATAAAATTATAGCTTGTCCCAGGGATATCTGTTGCACCCATGCATCTAAAAGATGGGTACGTTTTGTTATTGTTTGTATCTAATTCATATACCGTGATTCATGATGGATCTAATGGTTTTCTTGCATTTTAGAATTGGTTTATCTGCAAAAGAGCCTTCACATTAAGAAACTGCAGTATCATCTGCATCTTCAAATATAGAGTATCTGCACAAAGTCACTACAAATTTGCACATCTGAAGGACACTGCAGCCTATTACACAACAAATTATCAAAGTTAATGATGATTGCATATCCATATACATATTCAAGTGTGTCTCTACTACAAGCACACATGCACCAAGTCTTGGAACTGAATCTGCCCCCAGCCTAATAAATATCATGGAAGTGTCATTCCTGCATGACACTAACAGTAGGTGGGAATTCCACTTGCTATGTGCACAAACATGCTGTAAGGAAAAAGGATTTAATGAAAAAACACTATTTTTTTCAATACTATGTTTCAATGTATTTTTAAAACATATATATTGRTAAAGTACTGAAAAATATTCATACTGCAAAGTTAATAGCAATCTGGCTGTTTCTTCAAATAATGACCACACGCTTCAGGTAAGAGAAACAAATCTGCCTAATTCTAACTACAGTCTAGTGAATAACTTTCCTAATGCCCAAAGGAGACTAAACACAAGGAGTTAATTTCCATGATCTAATGAATGATTAACCATGCAATCTTTTTATCAGAAAACCACCTTTTTATGAAAATGCTAATTGAATTAATAGAACTTTGCTGTTGAGAGTGCTATATATAGGATATATTTGTTCTCAGATGTATGCTATTCCATGGACATTAATTATAACATTGTGATATTCCCTCTTCTGTTCTGAACAGCTAGTAAGACCTGTACTACTAAATCATACTTAATAGGAGTGTGATGGTTGTTGCTTAGGCAACAGAATGAATAAATGCAGGTCAGAATGTGCTTCCAGAAAAACAAAAGCAGGAACATAGTACAGAATGAATAAGAAATATGTCTTAACTGATTTTTACTGCATTGAAATATTAGATTTCCYCAATGTGAAGTAGCTAACTCATCTAAAACATTTAAGCTAGTAAGATTTAAACTCTAGTTTAATGTGTRAACCACTGTGAYAAAGGTAAAGCAGTCTGTTATATTAAGGAAGACTACAACATATTTAAGTTTGGAATAATCTGAATTTTTCTCATAGCATAGCATAGCAAGTGTTTCTTATCTCATTTTCCTATATACTTTCTAGGTTTAATTTTCCTTATAACATTTTGGCTGGAATGGAAAATAGCATTTAAAATACTCATTTGAATTTTTCAAGAGAGGCTTTTCTTACATAATGCTGATGTATTCAAAAGAGTGATATAAAAAGAAATTGCTGTTTCCTGGTAAWTTTTATATCCAATAAAATACAGGAAATATTCAATTTCTGGTACAGACAAAAACTGAGATATGCAAAAGCATAATGAACAGTGAAATCAATAGTTTAGAAATTATTAAATTACTGAGATTACACATTTTTTAATCACTACACAATTTCTYAGCTTTTTATTTGTTTTTGGATTTTTATGAGTCTAACCTTCCGCTCACATATGCACGCAAACCCAGCTAATATTAAGAGTAATTATATATTCTATTTGTAATATATCAGAAAAGGATGAAAATGACCAGAAAACACCGGCTAACAGAGCAGTATGCAAGCAAAACTTAATCTCCCTGACACATTAAAAGTTTCATTTGTATGTTGCATAATAAAATCTTGTATGTAATTTGTATGTTTATATAAGTATCTTAAAAAGAGATGTAGGAAAAAGTCTTATAAATTCCCCRAGAATATGGTTCAGGCCTCTCCAGAGTCAGGGCATGGCTGAAAAGCCCTCCAGGGCAGTTTATTTGACTTCTCTGGTGCTCACAATTTACCTGTGGTAGGTGTAGCCCTCTGCATTTGTTATGCCACCTACAGCCTCTTGTGAACAATTTCCTTTTGTAACCTCTTTAAGACTAAATGATCATATACTTATGTAACTAATGCAACAACACACATAAGAATATGTAGTTACATTTTGGGAAACTGCAGCATGAAACACTTCTTATTTTTATCTTTTTTTTCACATTGCTGGGCTAACAGCACAGCTTTGTTTTAAAGAATATTTAAAGGTATAGATTACAATGATTTTTACTGATATAAGCAAATGATCACATGGCAGCCATGTAAAAGCAGGAAGAAACCTCTTCACTTGTATAATGTGGAAATGAGAGAGATATTTGCCTCAATTTTTTGATCAGTAGCCCAAAGGCACATAGTGATTTTGGCCAAATAATTTAAAGAAGAAGGACACAACTCATGTGGCGATTTTACAGTTATAACATTCATGCCATTTCACTTCTGTTTCTTATATGCCAGATGCGAGCTATAAAAAGTTAGAAATGTTTTAAGATACACACRGATACTTAAAATATATTTTAAAGATGTTTTAAAATATCTTTTAAGCCCTAATATTTTTTAAGAATTTTTAAGAAATGCAGTCAGGATTTTTGAAAGAGGCTCAAGTAAGGGGAACACTGAAGCAGGTAGAAAAGTGATTATATAACAGCCTTACAAGTAAGCTCCTCTCTTTACTGTCAATATTCATTTCAATGGAAAGTTTGTGCATGACAGGTCTCTGTTACTTTACACCCCATGGAGGTACTGTAAATCCTGAACTAACTAAAATTTCATTTCATTCAAATATTCCTGATAAATACCTAGAGTTAAAACATGAGAATGGAACAATTAATAGGAATGCATTACTTTTTCTCCCAGGGCATAAGTTTCAACAAGTGAATCCCATAGCCTGATTACATGAGATGCAAAAACATTTAACCGAGACATCCAGAATTATTTGCAGAGAGAGCACACTTCATTAGATAATTTTCTGTTATTAAAATACCTCTGAAGGCAAGAATGGCATTGCATGTTCTTTAATTATCATTACAAGTTAATGTCAAAATAAAAGTAAGAATGTGATGCACTGCAGAAAGGGGTGTTTGCAGCTTTTCCATACAATGAAAATCCTGCAATGGATTAAAAGAGCTGTGCATTTTTCTTCTTTAATCAGAAGACTGACGGAGAAGAGAAAGAATCTTAGTATTCAGGTTTTATTTTACCAAATTTCAGGCTAGAATATTTTGTAATGTGTACAGTTTGGAAGTTTATACAAAGAYAGTTTATGTATTAATTCAGCTATACACAGGAAAGGGAAACACTAAACAGATCTTAGTGCAATGCAGAATAGCTCTAAGGATTTTATGAGCACATAAGAGACAGACAAAAAAGGCAGCTACAGTGTATATACACAGCTATGCACAGAAGATTTCTTACCATAAATTGCACATTGTCAAATCCATTAGCCAGCAAGTGGTTTTCATACTGAGGTAGCCCAATATTTTCCAACCATTGTCCCACTGTCTGGACAGGGCATCGGGGTCCTGTAGGAGGGTGAAGAGGGAGGCGTTTAAGCAACGAATAACCATCCACTGGATAATAGCGGTAGTCCTGGGCTGAGAGGTGGCATTGCCACATCGTGTTCCTGGAAAAGTTGGTATCAAACGAGCCCGCCAGCTTGACAGATTAATGTTTTCAGCAAGCAGAAAAGTCAGAAGTAAAACATAGTTTTCAGGTCAGTATATAACGTAAGATCTGATCGCAGCTCTACATTTCTTGGTTATTAATCTTTACTACAGACCAGTACGTCATACAGTAGGGAAAAAAAAAAAAGCATATCAAGCTGTCAGCTAAGCTGTTCTCCGTTATATGTGATTGTTGGAATACTCCACAATGAGCAATGCACTGCCAGCAGCAAGAATTCTTTTTATCAAGTACTCCTACACTCATCAGTATGCAGCTCCATGCTTCTTGCTCCCCCTCGCTCGCTCCCCTTCATTACCCAGCCTAGGCTACACCTCGCATTTTCAATAATAGCCATCAGATAAGGCAGATTTTTTTTTTGTCTGCAAGCTGTAAGCCTGCTGCTGCTGCTTCCTCCTACACACCCATCCAAGCGTCAATCTTGAATGATGAGAGCAGTCAAAACAAATGCAGAAAATAGCAAGATTCAAAAGCAACCTAGAGCACTTAAATCTGAATAGAATCTTCATACCAGTTATGCTTTACATATCTATTTGTTGTAGATTTTTACATTTCACAAGACATTAACAAATGCAATACTTAAAGCACAGCCCATGGCATGGTTTACTCTGCGTTCCCCTTTCCCCTTTTAATATAAGATAGGTAGTCATCTGCATCTCTGCTTATATAATAGCAAAACCCTTTAATGAATCAATAATGAATATATTTCACAGTTTCCCTCCTGTAGTACAGCCAAAGACATAAAAGGCACAACAATTTTTGTCAAAGYAATTAGATTATCTGCATAATTTCTTCAACCGTAAAATATTATAAGACACAGGAAAACCTTCATGCTGACATATAATAATTCAACTTGAAAAGGTCACCATTTCAAATGAATAATTAAAAGAATAAAATTGTAAGTTTATAGTCCTTTCTTACAAAAATGTGACTGACAGCAAGCAGACTTATAAGATTTGCATGATTTCTAGAGAGGATATAAATTTTGTCAACTATAACTGGAAAAAAAAAGATTATGAATTTTAAATGAGCGGAAAATTAATTTTCTGCATAAGAAACCAAATACCTCATGATGTGTTTTCTATCTACATTCCATCTTTGAGACAGTTTCTCTCAAGATGGAAATATTTTATTCCTTTCTTCTGAAAGGAACGTTTACTAAACTTTTGTTTTTCACAACAGTATGAGAGGACTTAGCAAAAAAAGTCAGGAAATAGGTATATTCAGGGTACAATTCTAGAAGRAATCCTATCAGTGGGGATTCCTTTATTGAACACATTAATTACTTTTTTGTTTTTCTTATCCATTGTGAATCTCAAGCAATGACCATCTCTAAGGAGGAATTTAATTCCAGGCATGAGGAAATTATAGATATTTGTCAAGGGGATAATTTGGGACTGATGGTACTATGGCAGGTAATTATTCAGTTGAAATCCAAACCTACGGTCTGACCAACACAGCACAATACAAATTCTCTGCAAGTGCCACACTGAAGGTCCCTRAGCAGTTGCAGAACAGATTCTAGATACAGCTGAATTTTTAGCTTTAACAATATTTTAAGAGTTTCAACTCCAATCTGACTAGTCCTTGGACTAAAACTGGATGACTTTTCACTCTGATATTGCTGTCTTGATTTGTGAAACATCTCATGCAAACTGAAGTCCATAACAATTTTGTACAGTAATTTTAGTTGAGTCACAGAAGATCTTTCATGAGGTTGGAAAGTTGCCTAAGACAAGTCTTCTATGAAATCATCCATTTTTCCAGGTTTTCTTACTGACTTGATAAATTTACTACACAAAGTATGAAAGTTTCATTAGGTCTTTAAAAAGAATACTGAATGCTCACCAGACACAGGTAAATCTGCAGTTACTAAAGAAACTTTTAGGAGTTTTCTAATTGCTAAATGTAGTTCAAATAAATTAATGGATGATTAATTTCTTCTCAGAGAAAGTAGGTATACCAAAATGATAGGAATCTAGGTCTCATGGAGATATGSCCCTGTTCACACATGTCTGCAAATCATCCCTATTTTGCAGAATTTCCTCTGTTAGGAATCAAGTATCTAGACAGAATATAGTCCCCTTTAGGATTGTGCCTGGTCAGCARCATGAAGAAGGGTAGGCTATATTGAGTTGAAATATAGGGAACTTCCCTTGAGTAGGCAAATTCAAAAGGCTCGATAAGATCTTCAGAGGGCAAATTGAGAACGAAGCTRTCTTAAACAAGATGAGAATTATATCCTTTCTGAATTTTTCTTAGTTGACTGAGAAATAAGAAAGGTCTTTGAAAAGGATTCCTGATTTTGTCTTCCCCTTCCCCCCCATAAGCAGAAAAAGTGAYATCAGAAAGAGATCTAGTGAAGCATAACCCCTTTGTATGGATCCTGTGTTTCCTATATAAATGCAGACACCAATGCCTCTGCMTTGTGTTCCCCAAAACCAAAAATTTTCTGCCCACAGTAAGGCACAGACAATAATCAATATACCAGTGTCATGGTCAAACTGCTTCTTCCTTACCTTACTATAAACGGCATGGAAGCTAKGCTGCCAGTGACGAGGAGTGCTTGGCTCAATGCCTAGCAACAGTGTAGGCAAAATTCAGTTGCTGAGTGGCTCCCCAGACACATTTCCTCATGTAGCTGTTGGTACTGCGTCTAACTATCTCCATGGCTCCAGCACTGGATGATTAYAGCACTGCTGGTCCCACTGCGTGCTCTCCTCCAACTCTGTCCTTTGCCAGTATAACTACATGTCTGAACCCACCAACACAACATAAGGTTGCTCAGTGAGGGGAAAGAAAATAAGCAGAAACACTCAGTTTGCTGCCTAGTCCTCATCCCTGACTATTGTCTCATTGCTAAAGTATCCTGTTAACTACAAGACTTTTCTTCCCTCCTCTTTCCACCAAAGGCTGTAGGCAAGGCAAAGGCAGGCACAAAACAGAGCCAGGACTGTTTGGATTAGGGAACTTGCAGCTCTTTAGACGTCCAGATCTTTAGCTAGTTCAGGYGTCTCACCTCAGCAAGGCTACTTGGAATAGATGCTACTGCTTTGAGACTAAAAGGCTACCTCTTCATTCTTTTATTTTTTTTAAAGTCTGTGACTCAGTGCCAGCCCCACCAGTGTGCTGCTGCAGGCAGTGTCTACTCTGCCTATGCCTAAAGTCAGTACTGACATTGAAAAATGCCATGTGGCCTGTATGAGATGGTCTCACCTCAACACATGTACATATTACCACGCTCTCCTGTGATTTCAAAGGACATAAACACCATGATAATCCTTCTGTGATACCACAATCAAAAAAGATGTACCCATTCTTACATGGGAAAACTGACACATCAGTCTCTTAGAGAGACAGCAGTATTTAGCTTTCTTCTCCAAGGCAACAGAAGAAGCCCACTGAAGTGATGTCTGCAAGAAAGATGCCATCTGGTACGCTATACGATAATTTCTACAAGACATCTTGTTCCCAATGGGATTCAGAATATATTTATTGTGCAGTTTGGAATCTACTGAATCTGTGCTATCAGAGGGCACATGATTTCAAACATGCTGTAAGGCAGGTCTGCTCTAAATACTAAGTAATTTAAGGTACTCTCAATTTTATTTTTCCTACTGTTAACAATATGGATTTTTCTTGATTTTTCTTGATTTTTTTTTKACTCAGGAGAAGAGGAAACTGCAGTGATTACTTGTAGAGGAAGTGCTGCCCCAGTTATTATGAATAGGCTAATTTAAACAATTTTTTTTGGTACATAAATACCTGTCAGACATTGCTAAACACTTCTGGTGTTAAGGAACCAAAATGTGGATGGTTTTAGTAGTGACTAGTAGTGACCAAAAAGTTCTGAGCAGAGAATATGAAAGAATGAATCATTTAGGTAAGATGGCAGCCAGTTTAGCAAAGCTGGAGAAGAAATTGATGGCGGAGCAAGTACTGAAAACTTTTTTTTTTTTTAATTAAMGTTTTCGGCCTTGTCCAAAGCTAAATGTGATACAATTTTTCTCTTCATATTTAGGATTTCAGGCAGATAAAAATGTTACATGTCAATGTTGTGACAGAACTTGTGCTACATCCGTTAGCACGGTAGGTTGGTCCTAGTCAATAAACTAATCTAATACATGTATTCCTGGGAGGAGATAAGGATTGCTAGGAAAGGATGTTGTGTGAGAAAAACTATGCCTAACATCCAGCAGAGCACTATAATTAAAGTTGATTATAGGAGAAGCATAAGAGGTTCCAAGAAGTGTATGCAGGATTCTGGTTTATCTTACGCATTTCAGTTATAAGGCAACTCAAAAAGCTTATAGATTTTAAATGATCTTTTTCATAAAACTGAAAAAAAAAAAAAAGGATGTTTTATATAAAATCTGTAACTTCTGTCACTAGCCTGGCTCTTTGGATGATGATGGAATTGTGGATGATGATATTTGGTGATGCTGAATATTTCTCTGAAGGTGCTTTAGAGACTTTTTTCATGGCGTGTACAGAAGCAAAATCAGCAGCGACAGCTTAAATTTAAGTAACACCATGTAGTATCTAGAGGTTACAGTCCATTGCTTATGTGTAGTTCAGAACTACAAAAATAGCTCTCAGATCACAGCTAATCAAGCTAATCGAAAAACCCTCAGTGACTAGGAAAAATCATCCTCACCATTCTTATCTGATTTTTATACCAATATTGATTATAAATCTACATTACTACCATGTAAGAACTGTATCCATAATAACTAGAACTACAAAGTCAACAAGGAAAATTCATTTTACTTGACAGATGATTTGTCAACTGTGACCTGTACTTTGTGAACCATACTGGCCCTTTTACCATTTTGCATTT